AAAAAGCCTAACTGAATTATTAATCAATCCAAAAATTATGAAATTATCGTTGGAACTCTAATGGTCACCTCCACTGCATTATTATACCCATGAACCCATTGGGGTAAATCAAGAAAGTTTTATAGCATTCAATCTATTGTCAGGAGATTAGCTATGATATTGCTAACTCAATTAAATAGAATGGTAAATTAACCAGTAATGAGTTTCTCGAAGAGTGGCTTGGGTGGAAGAAGATGAATCGATTTATGTTAAGAACTAACCTTGAATTTTGATTTACACTTGACAACCGTTTTTCTTAGGACTTAGAGAGTGGAACCTAAGGAATTCAAGTACAACTTATGACATCAGTGCTCCTTTTGGAGTACCGAAGCTGTTGGCTATAGAATATAGGGTTTTAGATATTAGTCCCTCAAACCTTTAATAATCCTACATTAGTTCCTCAAATCTTTAAAATTGCTTATGAGTTCCTCAAATCTTAAAGTTCTCACAATTTGGTAGCTCAATAACCAAAATATCCTCTCTTTTTCTCAATATCTATCCTCTAAATCCCTGAACCTAACTCCTGCTACATGCCCCCTACTCATTTGGCTCTGACCATACCTCATCATCAACTCCTATCATCATTCTCCAATTTAACCCTCTCCCTATTGCCCATCTCAAAAAAATGTAGCAGAGAGGAAAACAACTTTATTGAATCCTGAGCAAAGACCATAGAAGGGGTCAGAGAGAGAGGAGGCTGATGATGGGGTGGTCAAAGGCAGGTGAGTATGGGGCTGCAGTGGGAGTTAGGTTTATGGATTTAGGATATTCAAGTTGGAGGGTGTGGGGGGGGGGGGTTTTGGTCATTGATGGACCAAATTGCAAGATCCTTAAGATTTGAGGGAGGGACTCATGAGCAATTCATAGATTTGAGGGATGAATATCAAATCATTGAAGATTTGAGGGACTAACATTTAAATATCGTGTCCATAGCCGCTTACTAACCACAAATACAGATAAATATACATATTTGCCTCACTAAGGAAAACTTATATTCCTATCTGTTAAAATCGAATATATATACAAACATACATGCGAATATATACACGGATATACATGCCAACACAAAGCGGATATGAGAATACCAAAAAATATTTGAAGAATTTTATTCATGTAGTGGAAGAGAATTTATTAATATGTTCTTTATATCTGAAAGGCTAAGATTAGATCTGTTGATCAAAATTAACCTTAAGTCCATTAATCTAAGGATTAAAACTATTGCAAAACATATATTCTGATAGGAGTTTGATGCCCGCTTAAAATGAACAAAATCCACGAGTATTAGAAGGTGCATATGCTCAAGTTGGACTAGAACAAATTTTAAAGAAAATTTCAATGCAAAGCAACAAGGTTGTATGTCATCTGGGTCAAAAGGCACCAAAATGGGTAATACATCAGCAAATTTAAAAAAAAAAGATCAGTACAAATTATATATGACGTGTGAGTAAATATAACATGTTCTTAATAACCTATTTCACCATAAGATTGATGAATGATGCTAAAAGGTAAAGTGCACGTGCCACATGATTAACACAAGTTGCAGGAATTATAAAATACAACTATACAAGTCACAATTACAGTCATAAAGGCAAACCAAATTAATATATTATCTAGTAGAAAAAACTTATCGGTTATCTAAAAACCAAGAGTTCACACTTCGACATCTCATAAAGTTATTCACGATATGGAAGGCAAAAATATAGTGTAACTCGTGTCATAAAATCAACCACATAAACAATAAAGTTTAAGCAAGGAAGTTTTAATTTTAAGTTCAAAGTGTGACATGTGAACAGAATGATATAGTGAAACAATCACCAAGTTCTGGCTGTAAATCAAAGGATTTTAAGTCCACACACAATATCATAAGTTGATGTTTACTCGTTATCACCCCCCAAATCTGCCACCTCCTATGTTAATGTTATTTTCAATTCAGGAATCTTCCTCTTCAATTAAATTCTCATCTAGTGAATTTGAATAGAATATTCATTTTCTTACAAGAAACTTAAGCTTATATCTATTCCTCTATAATAATGGGAGGACCCAATAATCACTATTCATGCTACAGTAAATTGATGCAACATTATTCTTGCAGAGTTTTCAAAGAAATATTACTGTAGCTAGGTGAGATACTGTAGCATTAGTTAAAAAATATTGCTGACATTTTAAAAAATATTATTGTAGCAGAGGTGTGATACCGTAGCATTTTAAAAAATTAGTGTAGCATTTAAAAATATATCGTAGCAATTAAAAACGGGATTATTGTAGCGATAAAAAAAGGAAAGGTCATGCTTCGCACAGGGCGCACACTAGTCCTTATTCTATTAGGAAGTCTAAAATTCCACATGTGGTAAATTAGTCCTCTCTCATACAAAAGTCCATAAACATTGTATTTATTTTATAGAAAAGTGAAAAAACCTCTGCTTATCAGCATGTCAAAAACGTTGCATTTGATAAGAAGTCCTATCTCTATCAGTAGATCTATAAAATTTATTTCTGGTGTGAAAGTTCTACTCATATTAGAAACATATCAAATATTCACTTCCGATAGAAAAGTCACATTTTCATCACTAGCACAAAACCTACAAAATTTACGCTCTATCATGAAAGTTCTTTTCACACCCTAATTCCATAACTTCTGTCTTTTTTCAATGTTATTATTAAATTTGAGTTTATATAAAAATTTGTAACCAATTAATCAGAGAGTCCTTCAGTTCAATTCCAAAGGTAATTCATAATAGATTTTTGTAGTCTAGTGAAGATATTGAATCCCACGATTCATAAACCTCTAGTTTTCTAGGAATTTTAGGGATATACCCCAATACTAATATGATTTTTTTCTATCTAAAGCGCAAACATCCTCAGGGCGAGATCTGGGACCCTACATTACTGCTGTGGCTTTTTCTTGGCTGCTTTCTGAGTTATGTTACCTTGATACTTCTATCATGAAGCTATACTCGTAAGTCGTACCAGACACATAGCTAACACGTTCCCGTACCTAAACCTCATGGCACTCCTTGGATATATGCATACATTTATTCAAACATGTACTCAATTATAGTATATACTATATATGTTTTAATTTAAAATACTTTCCATACACTTCTTGAATATATATCCTACACTTCACGACCATTTCTTCAATATTCCGTAGACACAGGTTAGGTTTGTTTCAGCCTAGGCCCAAGTTCAAAAGTACAATTAAAGGGTCTTAGAGTCCTTGTATAGTTCAAAAACGACCACTTTCCAGTTTATAATAATAAACATAGTTAAAGAAATTTAAAAAATGTTATAGGAATTTTAATTCTAATGACTTCTGAATTGAAAACAATAATTAATATCATGTAAATTACTACTTCCAATACATATATGTAGCCATTTCTCCGTTCCCTACATTGTAAAAATATGTTGTGTCTGGTATCCATACCCACACCCATACCCATACCGGTGCCCGTTTCCGTGCAACTTAGGTTCTGAGTCATTTGTGCATGCTTGCTAATCTGTTATAAAAGGTGTTACTAAACTTCTAAGGGGGAGTATACGATCCTCCTAAAGGTCTCTTACTCCTTCACAGTTTTAGCCATTTTTAATTGTTCAAAAGAACCTATATACAAATGTTTGCTACATTTATCTTGTTCCTGTTCGCCTACTTCTAAAATGCTTTTCTATCGTTTCGCCAGAGTCCAGCCATTACATTTATTATGTCAGGCATATATACCTTAGGCACGATCGTTTCTAAGGACCTTCTTTTTTGCTTCTTCTGACATTAAGTTTGTGTTCATCATGTATACCTCCTAGAGCTGCTGATAGGCTCATCAAGCTCAAGAATCAGCTAAAGATGGCCTCAAAACTTTGTTTAGAGTTGTTCCATGACATAACTAACCTAAGGTTGAACGTGGGTCTAAGATTAATAAAGTGAACTGAATGCACAAGGTTGAGCATAGATGAGTCATCTTAACTTTTGTTTGTGCTCAGCTCGTTAATGGTTCATATGGTCTCAGTAGATGTTCAGGTTCAGCTACCGAAGCTCGGTAAGTTGGGAATTTTTCTGGGTCCTAAATTCAAGTTAGTTAATAGTGTTTCAAATTTCTTTGTACTGTAATTTTCTAGATCTTCTGATAACCTAAATGAGCTGAGCTTGAAACAAAAGTCTGCTTGCTAAAGTAAACATATAGGATGAAGCATAGCAGGGACCAGTTTATATTCATCCTTGACTCGTTAATACTTTATATGTGCTTTTCTCAGGTTTAATTCAGCTGTTGAGGGTATGCTAATTAAGTTGAGAATATTTTCATATCCTAGTTTCAAGTGAGTTCAATTGC